AGTCTGTGGAAGTGCTGCATGACAGAGAAGTGTCCAAGAGCTCTGCACCCAGCTCTGCTTCACCCATTGGGAAGACAAGCTGTGGGGGAGCCATCCATTCCTGAGCAGGGCTGGTCAACAGCAGTGATCTGTGTTGCAGAGGCAAAAATAATGGCAGCAGGGATAATATGGAATCTTTGCAAAAGAGGGAGCTGTGAAAGGCATAAGAAATACATGCAGGACACTCTTCGCATGTAGTCTTTTCTCACTTTTGTGTAATTTGTGTAATTATGTTATACATAAACATTTATCTCATTTTTTGTCAGATTCTTACAAAAACCCATGCTCCCTTGCTGTTCAACAATGCCACGTTGATTTCAGCTTAATTGAAAATTAGGGCTAGTAAACTCAAGCACTTAAGGTTCTGGCTAATTCAGGGCATTGTTAGCATAATTAACAGACATCAAGGCATATGACCTTGTTTCACATGACTGAAGTTTATGTAATGCAGTCTGGAAAGTAGATAGAAGAAAAAATTAAGTAATTTTTCTCAATTCATGCAAAATAACTGACTAGTTATCACATGTAAAAAGCATGTCTTAGGTCACTTACCAAGCAAGTAATTTATTTTAATAGAATTGGCTTCTCTTTGGTTTTTTAGTGCTTACTACTTCATTTATTTATCCTATCGAGCTTCTGGTTTACTTTAGTCAGGTTCACAAAGACTTCTAAATTGCAGTATATTTGGGTTGGAATACTAAGATAATTTTTTAGAAACACTATTCCAGTTAAAAAACCTCACAACTATTCCTGTTTACAAAAAGGCAGAATATTTATTTATTATTTATGTTCATTTTGGGAAGATTATTCCTTGTATGAGTATTTGAATAGATAGAGAAAATACAGCCAGAAATACCTGTAAAAATCTGTACTTCCTATGTCTTAATTTATTCAACCTCTGCCCAGTATTGATTATGACAAGAGGATATCACAAAAGATTAATTCATTCGCTTCAGAACTGAGTCAGGAACAAGAGGAAAATTATCGATTTTCTCAAACAGATTATGACAGGAAGTCAAAATGGTGACAAATTGCTGTCTGTAGATGTAGTTAGGGCAGTTGGACTAGACGTTTCCGATAAAAACTGGAGCACACTGGTCAAATACCAATTCTTAAGTGGCCATCGTTAATTGGTAAGAATGTTACTGCCAGCACTCCAGCTGCCTACCAAGGCACTTGCCCTTCCCCCTCGCCTCCCCCCGCCATGGAATATAATTTGCTCGTCAGTATTTTGCAGCAGACCTCAAAGTGATAGCATGACATGATCATTTATCAAACGGAGACTGCCCAGAAGAGTGTCTGGTCCCTTTAGTATAGCTTATTGAAAGGCTGGGAAGTGAAAGCACTTTATTACAGACAGGAAGGCAATGAACAACCAGAGCGTATCGAAAGGGTAATCATATTTCAGCACAGGATTAGTGTGCTCTTAGATAAACATACACTGGAGTAAGCATGTTCTGGGTCATTTATCAAGTAAGTAATAGCTAACAAAAATCTACAGGACTCTTTGTATACATTCATCAAAGTTAAACTGTATACATTTTATTTCAGTAACAGACAACTTCGTGTTGCAAAACTATTACTTGAAAAAAAATATTTCTAGTGAAATCTAGAACACATTGCAGATTTCACTGAGAATGCCTGAATGTTCAGGGAAGAATTAATAAATAAATACACATGCTAAATGATATTTCTTTTTTAATAAGCCTAGCCTAAAATACTTTTCCCCTAAATTGTTGTATTTGTGATTAAATGTTAGCACCTAAACTGTGGGAACAATTATATTGCTATTCTGATGCAGGCTGATAAAGCTTTGCTGTGTAACATTGTGAGATTTATCAACATTTCTCCATGTGGACTGGTCCTCAGAGTTTCTTGCATTGTTTTATATGCCTCGCTCTTCACAGAACCAGACTTTTGCTCTCTGTTTTTCTAAAAAGATGTTATCACTGGATAACAAATTCTATCACCATCATCATAGACAGCTGAAAAATTATATGGTTTGGAGGGTGAGCCTGTGCTGCCACTTCCTCTTCCCTGTGATTTTTCTAAACGTGTATTTTATAACACATAGAATACTCCCAGGAGGATTTTCTACCAAGGGAGTAGAGCCTGCAAAACCAGAATTCTCCCTGCTTGTGTTACCCAGGTGATTTTCTAAATCTGATGGACCCCAGTGATGGCCACATTGCTGAATACTCCGTTATTGGTATCAAGCTACAAAATTTTGCAGACTTTGCAGTTTAGAATCTGTCACATCATGAGTAGTAAAGTTTTTCCAAATTATTACAACTAGAGAACATAAATTCTCTCTCTTGTATGCATACAGTTTGTTTTGAATCCCCACCTTAAGCTTTCCACACATATAAGGAAACCTATAAAGAAGGACAGTTAAGTGAAATTTTGGAAAGGAAATATTTCAGAATGTAGGGTATTTGAGCAGAAAGGACCAATCTGTTAAGCTTTGCATCCTTTTAACTTGAATTTATTGTATTTAAAAGACAGAATAAATTTTACCTAGGTCATACTGCCCTTGGGTAATCAGACAGAACCCCAGATGGAGAAAGGTATATTTAAAAAAATTAACTAGTTGGGCCAATACTATAACTGACCACCCACACTTCTGTAGGGGGCAGATTGCTGTTTCTCCTACAAAATGCAGTTTTTCATATACATAAAGAGGGAGGCAGTCTACTGCAGTTTGAATGATTTTTAGCTTCCGTTATTCTGTTCTTTCTCTGTAAAGTATTTATCCTTCAACTTTTTTTTTTAAATCAGACACAGGTACTCTGAGGGCTTTGTGAGACCATGGGGATGCATTTACAGACATTGCATATCGTGCTAATTCTTTGGCTGGTAATGCCTCAGCTTTGAGTGGGATTGTAGTGGTAATTTTCCATAGCTAACATTACTGTTTCCTTAAAAATCCAGAGTTTTCCAACTGCATCACCATTTATTCTGTGCAATTATGATATATTCAGGGAATGCTAAGTGTCACTCTGTATTAATAATCACACTGAAGTTATTTCTGTGTGCAGGATTTGGGCCTGGCCAAACAAATCATGTTGCTATGGAATTTTACTCTGGAGAGGAAAACATAATCACAGTATTCTGTTCTTGTATCAACTGCAGGATTTAGAGGTTGCATTAACCAAATGGACAAAACTACGCAGAATGGATCTTACAGGAAACCCCATCTGCCACAAACCCAAGTACAGGGACAGGATTGTAGTGCAGTCACAAACTTTAGGTAAAAAATTAAACAAATAGCCAGCCTAAAAACCCATCCCTAGCCCTCACTGTTTCAGAAAATAACGGATATATTAATCGTCCTTGAATTTCACTATGTATGTAAACAAAAGTACTGTTGTATTTATGTCAAATGATTAATTTTAAATTTGTGCACAGGTAATTTAGCTAAAACTGCTTACGTAATCAGCTGCACAAACTCTGTTGCTCAGCTTTTGCTATTAGTAGTATTAACCATTAGTTTTAGTAATCGAGTAGTGAGGTTGTTGTAAGACAAAAGGCTTTTCTGAGTTCATATTCCAGATGTTGTGAAACTGATTTTGAGAGATTAGTTTAGCCTACTCCTGTATTGGCCTGTACTAGTTGCTTAGGTGTTATAGGTGTACAGTTACAGCTGTACAGTTCATACCTTACCCTGCTTCAATTTATCATATAGCAGAACATAAAACCAGCTTACACTTGTGTTATTAATGTATTTGTTAACTTATAGGGGATGCAGTTTACATTATTATTTGGGGATAATTTTGGCATAATAGGGAGCAATTTAGTCTTCCTTGTGCAACTATTCAATAATAATAATATAATTATTATTTCTTAATAATTATATTAAGAAATAATTTTTTTAGAAAGTCTACTTATTTTTAACTTTCTTAGATAAAGGTGGTATTATCTTAAAAGTTGTCATTAAAAAAATTGTTTTTCTCTTTTCTGAGAACAAAATATTGGCCATTAAGAGAAACAAAAATCCTACTAGCACAATAAAAATAAAAGGGTCTTAGGACACTTCTAATGCAACCTCAATTTGTGGCCAAATGAGGTTTTTAATTTGGTCTGACTGAAAAATGCAGATGCAACAAAGTCAACGTAGAGGATAAGCTTTATGGCATCAAAGTGAGTGAAGTTAATCTTGCAGAGGCAGATCTGTCTGCTTGTCTTCACGATCAGCATGATTCCTTTGTTGCTAAGCCATGCAGCATTCTCTCCTATTAATTTCTGCATCCAGATATATCCTGTGTAAAGAGAATTACTTTATCTTCAGAACTTTCTGCAAGGTGTTGCATGTTAACTAAATGTGAAAATATAGACAAATATTTCCCTTGAAAGTTGCAAAAATACTAGATGCTTTATTTTGTAATTGTGTCAACTCACTTTTGCAGCTAATTAGAATATGAATATCAAGGTGTATTGGGTTTTTTTTTTGCCAAAAGACTGACAAGAGAAAAAAGATTTGAAGTAAGGAAATACAGAGCAGTACACAGTACATACAGCTTTTTACAGCTTTTTACTTTGGATTATCACAGAAAATGTTCTCTTCTCTTTGACAGAATCCCTCGATGGGAAAGAAATTAAAGAAATGGAAAGACAATTCCTAGTGAATTGGAAAGCCTCCAAAGCTGCCAGGAAAAAAAACAAAGAAAGAATGACAAATGATCATGCAGTCTATCTACATTTTTGTAAGCAAGCTAATTAATTTCTTCATGATTATTTGAAATATTATAGAAATTATAAAATAACAGCTAGCAGTAAATATGAGGAATGAGATTTGTACTGGTGGTGAGACCGAAGCACAAGAGCAGAAATTTGACTTCTCCAATATGTAATTTAGTTTTAGTACTAATTCATGTGGTGTTTTTTTTCCTTCCATCCCAATCTCCTAAAATTATTACAAGCAGTAGCTAGTATATTTTGAATGTTTGTAAATATTCATTATTACTTTCCATATATTAAAAAAGAAAAAGTGTTTTGCATTCTAGAATATTTATGTATTAAATACATCAAACTTTAAAAATGTATTTATTAATACTTATTCAATCTGTGCCAGTCCTTTTGAAGGCCTTAGAAGGAGAAAAAAAAAGTCTTGGAGGAGAAAAAGCCTCCAACCTAAAAGAAAAACCTACAGGCTCTTGAAGAGTGAAAACAAAATTAGTTTTGAAACTCAAGCAAAACCTGAAATAGACTATGAAATATATTTTTAATGGTTGTGTAAGAATTGTTGTTGCTATAGATTGAACTGCAGATTAAAATATAAATGCCTTAAGAGTATGTCTTGCCACCTTGCAGGATTTAGAAACAGACATTAGACTTCCAGTTACTCAAAATGGTTTGAATGACTGTATTTATAAAGTTGGTGGCAGTTGTAACAATTGTTTTGAGAAGACAAACTGTAATATGTAACTTAAGGGACAGAGCATGTTCTTCATAGCCATCCTATCTCAAATTATTAATTAATGAAACCTCCTGAAGATCAGTTCTTTTTGAAGACATGTACTGGAAAGGACCCAGCCTGCCAGCCTCGGTCCTGAGAAAGTTGAGTCTGCCCGGTAGTTGGAAGCCATATGTGAATGGTAATGGCTCTGAAAGTATTATTCTGACTTCTGAATAACCACTGATATAAGGAGGTGCTGTGTCCCTTCAAATAACTCTACCTGAATGGGAATACATGCTTTAATATTCACCTTCATCAGTGTTTGAAGCACTTTCCATAATTTCATATTAAGTTCTCCATTCTCAAGATCTTTAAGATCCCTTCCAACTCAAACCAGTCTGTGTTATAATTCTAGTAAATTAGCAGCATTTTACCCTAAGGCTTATTACACTGTCTTCTACAGCAAGATATATCAATCTTACTGAATATTAAAGTATATATGGTTTGATTCGGCATGATTAGTTAATAATAAATTAATTCTTTTTTCTTCTGTTTTCTGCAGCTGACTTAGAAACACCCTATTCTATTCCTCCCTTTCACTGCAGTCACTCTGTGAAAGAAGAGCCAGAACCTTTAGTTTTGTCTGAGATGCACAAAATTATAAGAAAACCTCTGCCAAGAATCCTGGAAAAAAAAATAAGCCAGATGAAAACAGGTATGTACCTCAGACATCTTCCTCTTAGTTCTCTTGGTTATAGCTTGTATAGCTCTTACTGAATCAGCTGGAAAACAAGTACATGAAGAAATAATTTAATCTTAAGACAGTTTTAGGTTTTTTAACCGAGTTATGTTTATTGTCGGTATTTCTTGGAACAACAGGATAATACAATTCAGTTTCTGGTTATAAATCAGTAGAGTAACTAATAGTAGTAACTTCACTGCAGTGTTACTAGCACATGCATTTGATTGTCATCCTCCACAAAGATAAAACAATACTGAAGTCAATTCTTGGAAGTGCAGTTGCTGTCAGCATCATTGCTGAAGGCTGGTCCTGTGCACACAGTGATGTGCAGAAGGAGAATCATCGTTCTAGCTTACTTCTAATAGACATGTTCCAGTGTATTACATACTTGAGTAACATTTTTCTGACCACATGCTCTGTGTTCTGTCAACACCTCCCAGAAAGTTGTTTTCTTCAGTGTAAGAACTTCTGTTCTCTCCTTTTAAATTAAACATTCTGACTCTGCTATGTTAAAAAGCTGTCCAATTGTTGAGCTTCTTTGCCTGACAAAAATTTTGCCAGTATTAAGAAGCTGAAGTACACTTCTGGCCCTGTTAAAATCCTTTATGACCCTAGAAAGGCAAAGATTGCACTTTCCATACTTGGCTGGATCAAAATGTCTGTATTTGTATTAACTTATATTTTCAAATTAAACTATTTGAATTTTTAAAGTTTTTTCTTTACTAGGAGTCTAGAACATTTTACTCTAATTCTCATAAAGGTTACAATAAATGACATTCAGATGACATGCATTTAATTATTTCAAAAGCCTTATAAGTCAGGCTTTTATCATAGGTGCTGAAGGTTGCTATATGTAACAATTTCATGTGTAATCACTGATCTTGAGAAGTATTCTAATCTTACTAGTGGAATTCCATGGAAACCAAAGAGTCTTGGGAATTAGTGAAAGGGCTGTGATTTCTTTACAATTTTTTTTGGGGGAAAAAAAACAACTAAAAATACAGAAATATTAATTCTTAAAGTATATGCAGATAAGAAGTAATGACAAATCACAGTATTTCCTTGCCAGATCTGGTAACTAGGGATATACATAAATGTGCCCACATGTAAAGCGACAGAATTTTGTCCAACTGACAAATACCTGCATTGTTTAATTGAAATTCAGTATCAAACCAAATAAATTAGTTAATTTTAAGAAATTTTAATCCTACTGTCAGGGTTAGTCAAATAAATTACTCCAGCAGATGTTTCCTCTTTCC